ATGCAATCAGTCCATGACTAGGACGAGCATTAATCCAGAGGTGTATACTTTACTTTAAACAACTCCGTTTCAAAAGAATGTACAACAAAAATAATCATTAAATTTATATATTTGTTTGTACTAAAAATTAAATGTTAAAGTTAAATGATGATTGCATATGACTTTAGTAACTTCATTAGGTTTTCATATAACATTTCCAATTACGGGCATTGGAAATTACATAATAATAATAATATATATATATATTTATTTATTTGGGCATTGTTGAATCAACAACCGTAGTAGTCCGTAAAACTTAGGAAAAATGCAAAATTGCACCAAAATTAACTAAAAGTATATTAAATTTTTTTTTATTCAATAAATGTTACTGCAGTTCTATTACATATAGTGAATTAATCGATTATTTTCCAATCGATGTTTGATTTTCATATTGCAACATCAATTCACTTTTTGTCAATACAAACCACAATGATACAGACAATGTTTTAATTAATCTTTCATTCATTACTTTTTCATTTTACATGTAGAAATTAATTTATTCACTTGACTTTGGCAGAATTGTGTGAAATGCGCAGATATACCATTAATAAAAGAAGAATGACAAAATTGAATTGTAAATGACAATTTAATATGGGATATCTACTAAAACAATCCGCATATGTGTATTTTTTTGTAATATTAAACTGTAATAGAAAGTGAAACATTATACTTGAAAATATTATTTACAAAATTAATTTTATAAAATAATTCATACCATGTATTGGCTACGCACGTGAAATTGGCAGAATTATGCGAAAGCCCTTAATAAAAGAAGAAGTTTTCGATTGAAAATAAATATTCATACGTATTAATAACATAGTGAAGAAGATAAACGATAGTCGACTGAAAGTAGACATTTAAGAGAGAATTATTGATGATGAAATGAATCCAATATCTTTCGAAATCTGGCTATACCTACATCTGTACACCGAATCAAGCAAGGCAACATAATATATACTGTGGAAAATCTATACAAGATTAAATTTAAAACAATGTTTGTTATAGTAACCCATTAGAAATGTCATTATTGACTAGATATTATAAGTAAGATCAGAGAAAATTATTAATGATTTGACATATCTTTCACATTAAGTTGTATACAAATTAAATTCTTGTAGTTGCATAGATCTGCTCGCAGCTGTCATCCATGCTGACTATGAGCAAATTAAGTATAAGTTTCAACTGATATAAAAGAACTTACACATATAAATTCCTGCTAAATTGAACAAGAGCTCCTGATTCACAGGCTTATTTTTTCTGTTCTAAATTGTAACCCATCATAGCGTATGACAGTTTTCTTTGGGTTAAAATTGGTGGTTGGTTTTAACTTTGTGTCAAAAACAGTAGAATATGTATTTTTCATGTAGGTAATACTAATTAGGCTGAACATTTATCTTGCACGCAACTTAATATATGGTTACAGAAAGCCTCATGTTATTTCAAATGTTACGTAAAACTGAGCTGCGGCTAAGCTCAATTTTATGTAATTTTTTTAAATTAAAAATAATTCAGAATAAAATCTTATAAACAGTATATTTACCTGTTTAACAATCCTTTAAACATGATGATGATATGATGTAATAATCCTTTATAATATTATAATCTCCAAATAAAAAAGTGAGTAATACTTATGTCAGAAAAAAAAATTCATAATTATAATTTTTTAATTAAGATTATTATTTGATCATATTTCCTTTTTAATGTTATTGATAAAATTTACACCCCTGTCTTCATAAATTGTTATCTCTCTCTCTCCATCCCATGATTGCCTGGAAGAAATCACTTTAAGCGATAAGGCCGCCAATTGTTACATTATTTTGTTAAACTGTTTTAAATTTGTATACCTATATAACTTGTGTAATGTTAACAATAAAGAATTTTCTATTCTATTCTCTATAATGGTATTATTAATATAGTTTTGGTGAACTTCCTAAACATAAATGAGCATATGCTCACTAGTAATGCAAGTAATTCTTAAATTCACAAAACCTGCTGGTTATCTGGTAGTTAAATTGGTTTTAGCAGACGCCCAGACTGTGAGTGTTTATGGGTTTAAATCCCACCTCAAGCACTAATTGCTTGAAGTGGGTTTTTTAATTATTTTCCTTTAAGATAAATATCGATATAGTATTGCAAATGCAAAAGTGATCAGAAAAAATAATGATAAATTAATTAATTTGTAAACAAGGACTTTTTCAGTGCCATTTTTATTGGAATTCCACACATGCTTGTAAATACACACTTTTAAGTTTTCCTGTAAAAATACTACAATAGTTTACTTTTTTCAATACAAAATATTCAAAAATTCATGTTTTTATAATCATAGATAAGTTTACTTAAAGCCAAAAGCCCCTACAATCTAATAATGATTTTTACGATGTTCCTATTTACAATGATTGTTTATAATTATGTAAAGTTTTAACAGAAATATAATTTTTCAATTTTAATTTACATTACATGCCTCAACTAGGTGGACCTTATTTATGTTAAGAATCTACATAATATGAATTCCACATTTCAAATTCATAGAGGAATGAAAACCTATTAATTTATCTATAAAATGTAAGTTTTTAATAAAAAATAATAATTTAAGATTAATAATCAAGATATAATTTATTTTATTTTTAAAGTCTGCCAACATTTTTACATATCAATAAGCAACCACAAAATTACAGAACTATCTATAACAAATAGATGAAATGGTGTACATAAAAAGTTTATTAAACACTATCACACTTGTTTATCTAGCTCCATAGTTTTCGATTTCATTTTTTTTCTAATCATTTTACATAATTTATATCACATGGATTGCTATGTTCTCATGAGGTAGATGAGGAATCTTGTGTTTGATACCCAGATTTTGTATATTTACTTCAGACGTCAGGGTGCTCATTGAAAGTATCCTTGTATCTTTGTGAAATAAATAATATTGGATAGAAAATTTTATATGCTTGAAGTGCTAGACAGTTAAAGATTAAAATTTTTTGGTACCTTAATATAAGGTATTTTTATAAATAATTAATGATAAAGCAAACATATCAATGGATTTACACAACTTATTATGTTCTTTACAGTCTATTGATAACTCACTCACAAACTCTTAAAATGTAGGAATTAAAAGTCACAGTGGATTGGAGTATTTAATATATTTCACGTTGTAAATACATAAAAGTCAGATGAGAGTAAAGAAGAGAGTGACATAAAAACAAAAAACAGTGTATAAAATACTAATTCAAAAAGGTATACGAAAAGATGCCAGTGTCTGATTAATAGAGAAAAAGGTTTTATCTACACCTCCCCGTAATCAGGACACTTATGTACACCCTTTATATAAACACACTGTATGTACAAAAACACTATAATATCAAAAGTACCTTAACATGATGCCCTAACCTAATTAACCTAATAACACAAAACAAATAACACTAAACTAATCCTAAATTAGTTAGGCACATATAGTGTCTCAGCTTAGGCAGTGGCTTTGTGAGAATGTCTGCTGTTTGGTGAGCTGATGGTATGAATGACACATTGACTTGTTTAGTGGATATAGACTCACAAACAAAATGATGTCTAATATCAATATGTTTTGTGCGGGCGTGATGCGTGTTGTTTTTTGTTAATTTGATGGCACTTTGATTGTCACAATTAATGGTGATGGGTGACGAAAAGCAAAAGATGTCGCTTAGTAATGAGCGAATGTAGATGGCTTCCTTACAGGCTTCACTTAGAGCCATGTACTCAGCTTCTGTTGTTGATGTTGCAACGGTTCTCTGTTTACGTGATTCCCATGACACTGCTGAACCACACATTTGGAAAACATATCCTGTATAGGATCGTCTGTCCACCAGATTACCACCATGATCGGCATCAGCAAATCCGATTAGATCACCACTATTGTTATAGGTCAGTTTCCTATTTTTTATAGCCTTCAGGTACCGATGAACACGTTTCGCAGCTCTCCAATGTACCGAGATAAAACTTCTTCTATACAAACACTACAAATACCTATGTTTGCCGAAGTTACTTTTGTAGGGCAAAATGTTTTTAATTATCAATTCTGAAGATGGATCAAGGCATTTTATTTCACTCAGCAATTGGGGGTACCTAATTGCACCTCTTAAAATTTTAAATAATATAAATTGTTTCACATCTATCATTAAACGCTAACTATCGATCGTCAAAAAGTAGAAATTTGCAACTTTTTAGAAATCGTTAATTTTGACAGATGAAACGTTCGGATTTAGTAACGTTTCAGTAGCGTTTCGATCCAACGAAGTGTCAAAATTTTAGTGGAATAAGGGCCGACGATCGACTCAAGTATATGGACGTAGTTATGCAAACCAGCCACATGATGTCAGTTTTGAGAAAAATGGGTTTCTTGTTTTTAGTAATAATTGTTTGTAGAATATATTTTATTTTATTTATTTATCAAGAAATTTTGTGAATTTACAACATTTGAGTTTAATTGCAACACTTTTAGGCTTCTCTGCACATAATTCGATTTTGACAGATTTGTGGGTTGGTTCCGGTTTGCATAACTACATCTGTATAGTTCTATGTTCGATTGAGCGAGTAGAATACCGTTTACAGTTTCTGTTGATCGATAGTTAGCTAAACTAAAATAGAACCGGAACTGTATCGTTTGACGCCATTTTGACACCGAGTAGAATAGGAAAACCACTAAAAGTTGTAGTTTCGTTCGGTTTCGTTCCGTTTTCGATTCGATTTAAACAAAATTTATTTAGTAGAATTGGCCCCCAGGTCATCTGCCCTATCACACAAGGAAACTGAGTGGCATAAAAGAAAACATATAAAATATAGATAATGTAGCTGGATATCGGGATAGACAAATTCATCCAAATATTGAAAAACGACCCTAAAAATATTTCACATCGCAAAAAGTTTGAAATCACCGATGAAGTTTATGAAGACACTCGTGTTGAAAACGTTAGGATACTCACCAGCGCGGAAGACTTCACCGCAACCATCGCAACGGCTCGCGAACTGGGCATCGTAGCAATTACCGCAGTAGATCTTGTCGAGCTTCGAACCGAACTGCTTGTCCACCAACGAGACACGGCACTTGGCGCAGAGGAAGCAAGCCTCGTGCCAGTGCTTGTCTTTGTACGACAGATCCTGTGAGAAGAATGACTCAATGAATATTCTCACTATAGTCTCATTTGTATATTGAGGAGATCGGCAATGCAAAAATACTTATTATATTTAAACCATTCCAGTCAGAGAACTTTTAATTTCCCATAAAGCATATTATTATCATTAGATAGAATTCTTTTGCATTCAGCTCCAGTGTATGACATTCGTAACTTAAAACTTCGCAATAGTTCCAAAATACAGCGTCACAAAAACAATAATGTAGTAGTAGTGGTTGTGAATTTTCATTTTAAGATCTATTTCCATCGTCACAACTTAAAAATTTTCCAGTAAAAACAACGTATATCCAATTTAGACGAACGAATTCAATGTAGTGTACATCACGAAGAATCAAAACAAAAAGTTTAGATTTTACATTAGTACGACAAATGCAGCGTGGGCTGTAATTATTGTTAGACCGTATTCCGATGGGTATTCAGACACAATAAGACATGGATCGTACATATATGGTAAAACATACATACACTAACATTTCAAGGATGGACAAACCTATTTGTTTAAGGTATTATTATTGGTTTTATGGAAAACATAAAATCTAACGTTTGAAAAAGATCGAGCAACAGCTTTTATTTCGAGTAGAAACGCCAGTTCTTTTGTGTCATCATATATGTAATGGCATTATTTTACTTCTTGTTTTCTATTGAAAATTTTATGTGTACCAGGTGGTACACCTTATGTATAAACCATTTATGTTTTTGTTGACTTTTAGACGTTTATGGCTTTCATAAGTTATTTTCTCGTCATGTATTCAGCTTCCTTGAAAATATGTTGTTGCCCGTATTGCTAATTTATTTTACAGCTCTCTTGTCGTTGTTGACAGTATTTCCATTATTATAATAAGTTTCTATCATGTATGTCTTCATTATTTACTTTAAAATAAATATTACATAAGATACTATAAGCACGTGGGATATACATCATCAATCTTAGTGTCATTATAATAAACCATTTTCGCTGATTTTGAATAATCTGTACCTACTATGTCATCGGTTATTTTAAGATGTGATTCACAAATAAATAAAAAAACACGTAACAATATATATTATGTGTAGGATTATAATATCTTTGATAATAAAACTAAGGAGCAAAAGTTCCGGGTAACATAGAAAAATAACTATAAAATGATTTAATTTTACTGCATTATCAATTCTCTTTTACTTACAATTTATTTCAATTGGCTGTGTTTGTTGTTTTGGATATCAAGTGTACCTAAATTTTGTTTTGCTCGTCGGTTTTTAAGATTTTAATTTGTAAATAATGTTGATAACTATAAAAATTTCATGTACACCAAAGTCTGTCGGCCTGTCGGGTCTGCTAATTTTGTTTGAGTTATTACTACAGTTGTAATTTTTTATAATGTCGTGTACTTTATTGTAGTGTTCAGAGTTCTATTACTTTTTCTTTCTTATCATGTATCAAGTGTTAATTGTTTGTGAACATTAATTATAATGCAATTAAATAAATTTCATTTATAGCCGTTTACTACGTTAGTTAGGTTAGCAAAAACTAATGTACCAATTTTATTAATTTTAATAGGTAGACGTATCTTTTAATGGACAAACTCCACGGAGTGCTTTAAATGTAAAATTCCTAGGCTTAATAGTGGATTCTAAATACAGTTGGAAAAAGCATATAGAAAAAGTGTGCAACAAAGTGCACTCTTTTTCCTTTGCATTATATAAACTAACTGCTGTATATACACTTGCTATATTTATGCAATATAGCAAGTGTATATACAGCAGGCTTTTTCACAAATATAGAATTCGGGGAAAGGGCACTGAAGCTAAATTTCTGTTTATTGCGCAAAAAGAGGCATTCGTGCTATATATATGTAATCTAAAGACGGATATTTCTTGCAAGCCTTACTTTAAAGCTCTCCAAATTTTGACGCTATCTTTTCTTTATAACTTGGAGGTGTGCACATTTAAATAGTCAAAAGTTTGCACAAGCACAAGATTTAAGCCAAAAATTAAGGAGAAACTCTGAAAGACTAGTTCTGAATTCCATCTCTAAGACTCAAAGATTTCAAAATAACAGTTACGCCATATGCCGAAAAATCTATAATAAAATATCAGATAATTTTAAACAATTGCCGTTCAACCAATTTAAATCTACTCTGCATAAATTGTTATCGGAAATGGCATTTTACTCTATTGATGATTATTTAATTAAACCATGATAATATGTAAATTAATACGACAATACTATATCAGTTGACATAAAGTTTAATTGCTCATTGATATGCAGTTCTTGTTATGACATTTTTATTAGATTTCTTATCATGACATCTGATATTGTAATATTTAATCCTAGAAATGATAATTTTTAACCGACTTTAAAACTGAAAAGGAGGAGGTTATATGTTCGACGACGATGTATGCTCACCGTTATTTTCGTCAATTGTTGACCGATTTTCAAAAAATCTTTTTTATTCGACAGCTTGACGGATTGAGGTGGTCGCATTTAAATTTTATCGAATTCGAATAAGTAGTTTTAGTTTTATAACAAAACAAAATACGCTCGCCAACTATCACCTAGATATTAAGATGAAATTATATGACATGGCCCATTTCAGCTAAAAAACAAAAGATTGCGCATTTATAAGAATTCATTCAAAATTTGATAGGAAGATTTTCTATGTTTAACGAGTATGTCTACTTTAAAGTCGTAGTTAGTAGGTATCAATGAGTAACATATATATGTTCATAGATTTCTTCTTGTATTACTAATCATTTCTATCAAACTAGCTGTTTCCCCGCGACTGCGCCTGTGAAAATTATAGCTTTTGTCCGCTGCGTATTATGTAGCTTCCCGTAGATGAAAGACTTATAAATCGGTCCAATAGTTTCGGTGCCTATCTAATGCAAACAAACAAACAATCAAATATCCCTTATTCAAAGACTTCTACTGTGTTAAATATTTTATTATAAAAAATATCAATATTACTGAAAAGCATTAAATAAAAACTTTTTTATAAAATTTAGAACCTACTTCAAACTTTAAACCAGTGATAAACAAAACTAATCTCAAGAGCGACTTCTTCAAGAAAATGCTATTAAAGTGTGGCGCCTATCATTTGATTTTTTATAAAATGTTGTTATCTATAATAATGTTATATAATTAAATATGATAATAATTTGAATATATTTAAAAGTAACGAAAAATTAATTTAATATTATTCTTAATATTTACATAAATAGGCTTTACGTTCTTAATTTATTTTAATAACACTGCTATCAAATTGTACCTTACTATGATTTTCTGTTCTATTATTATTTTAAAGACATTCTTAAAACACAACATTATTGGCCACAACTGTATATGTTATCTTCTTTGTGAATCACGATAATGGACAAAAACTTAAACTTTGTTCTAATGTGTGCCTGTGTCTCAGTGATATTTGTATTATATTATATTGTTCTTAGACAAATAAGTTTACGTGACGCGCTTTAAACTCTCCCCTCACACTATAATCTATTCCTGGCCGAAGTGTACCGCTAGAGAACGGCCATTTGTACCGAAGTGTCGTAATTTCAATAAAATATGAACGTTTATTTTGGCCGATTACGAAATACTTAGTTGATGTTGTATCGCGCATAAATCTAAAGAATCAACTGACGGATCCACCGAGGCTTCTCAAGGTTGCTCGGTCGTTGAAAATAAAGTTATATCCGTACCAGAAATAGATTCGTATAGAGGCTACGATTGCAATGATTTTGAAAATATCTCTTTGATCTGTCATTCTGCATTCCATTCTTTTCACACAGTATCAATTTCAAATTTTCTGATGTCTTGTGACGAATGAACTACTAACGGCATTAAATCAATATGAGTGACAAAACAATAGTTACTACCAGAACCATCGGAAATAGTTATTTATTTTTTATATTACCCTTATTAATCCCACAAAGATGAAAAGATTCTACAGTCAAGTGTCTAAAATCTGTTATTGTTCACTGTATCTAATTGCAATTAAATAATATACATTTTTAACACAATCTCTGTTACAAATTATTCAACATAAGCATATGTCGCTATTGATTTGTGAGACGCCATTGTACTAATGGTATTAGGCCACAGAAATTACAGATAATATAATGACAAAATTCATTTAATTTAGATTCAATTAGGATGCAATTATTACTTTACAATTGGCTATTGTAACAAAATTGAGATGTAGTTTGTGACACTTCAAGTTGTAAGACATTTATAAGGGCAGTTCAAAAGAATACACGATGGGATTAGCTGTGTTAGGTTTCTGGTAATTTAGGAACAATCGCGAGGTGTAAACATCGGACGATATGCAGCTGTTCCGAGCGACAGGAAAAGTCATTCGTTGGTAGTCGAGATAAATGTATAGTTTGGCGTCGGCGGCAATTCGCGTCCGTTGGCAGTTGCCCTGGGGCCGTGTGCAGAGCTTCGCTCAAGAATCTGGGCCGCCTGGAGCGACATTACTAAATTTGATCGGAACAAAGCTGGATGCCGGCGATTTCGACGCACCACAAACGTTTAATGAGCCTATTTTTACTAATAAAGCTATTTTGAAGCATGATCTAAATACCTAATGGTGCAAGTGAACTGAAATATCATAATCGTTTTGTTTTAACAACAATTCATTAACAGGTTGAACGCATGCCAACATGAAAATATCTCGTTATCCAGTACCTACTTACAACACGAAAGCAGTACACAAGTAAAACATGACGTCGATCTTTCATGTTATGATTTATAAAATTGTGAGTTCAACATTATTGGCATTATCAAATTGCTTGTATAGAACTTTTATATTTATAAACCAATGCATATAATTTATCAGACAGATGAGTATGTGAAGTATTTTTGAGATCTTGGTAAATTACTAGTTGAGATTTAGCTGAGCCATGTTAATCTTCTGTAATATTAGTTGTTGTCATAGATAAAAGGTAAGAGAAATAAGGTATAGATGTTCCAGATAATCTTAGTCTTGAAATTTACCTTAGAGTCAATGCCGATGATCTTGTTGCACTCCTCACAGCCGTTAGCGAACACGCTCTCGTAGCACTTGATGCAGTAGGGTTGCTCATCGCGTAGCACGTATCGCTGGCCCGTCAGCGACTCGTCGCACTGCCAGCAGCAGAAGTGGCCGCTGTGCCAGTCCTTGTTCATGGCCTTGGTGTATTCGCCACTGAAAATGAGCTGTGGACAACCATATGGCATATTGCAAAAAGGACTCTTTGTAATGGCATGGAAGATGGCACGCTGAAATTAGCTGATAAATTTCTTTCAGTGTTCTAATGGATTATTTATAAAAGAATATGTGACAGTAATATTAGATTCTATTTTTATAGTACACAAACAAATTTCTATAACGTTTGACACACAAAATAACCTATAAATACCTTAAATTAGGTCGGGTATGTGAGGGTGGCCAAAATAGTACGCGCTACGGAACATGATCAGATAAACGTTGTACATGTCACTAAAGGGGTCGAACACGATCGGTAATCGACACTACTGTCACAGACACACTGGCGTCACGCACTCACTGCGCGGGTTCAAGGGAGTTTGGCCACCACAACACATACCCATCGTCGTTGTTGGTGGTCGTGTTGGTTTGTTCGACTTCGGTGACGGTGACCTCGCCATCCTTGGACTCCCTACGCTTGGAGGTCTTTTTGACCTTCCTGGTCTTGCGCTCGGTGGTAGTGTATTGGACTTGGACGTCGACGTCGGCCATGGCTGATCGTTCAGTTCAGGTTAGCGATATCACCGGACGCGGTCGCGACCCGAATTCGAATGGCGAGCTACGGTTGCCGAATCGCAGGAATTATTCCAGAATGCTTAGCGAGACGCTCCGCACGGGACGGTGGGGGGAGGTACGGGGTTTAAATTTGGAAGAGTGACGGAGGGGCAGGTGCGCGGGCGTCGCTTTCCACGCGTGGCGAACCGAGTAACCCGTGTTTCCCGCAGGATCGGCTAACCAGGCTTGGATGTGCCGACGCGACGCCGACTAAGATCTAGGGCGTTCGCAACTAAGACGATACGAATACTGCAACTTGAAATCGCATTATGATTTGGCCTAGTTTCAAATCGGTATTGGTGGACAATCTCCGATTTACGACTGATCTTCGACAACGGATGCGTAATTAAAAGCGAACGCAAGACATTTGATTAGATGATATACGTGGCACGTGCCAAACTAGAGTTGATTTAGTACTTTGGAATGGACAACGTATGTATTTTATAGTTTATTTACGACAAGTTCCATAAATGAAAGAAATATTGAGATAATTTTGTGTACCAAACGCTAATGATAGAATTAGAGGACGGAGCCAAAATTTTTACACTAAAGTCTAATATCCTTCATTAGTAAATAATATCAATAAAAAAAAAATGTTCCAGTAGTTTCGGAGCCTATTCAATGCAAATAAAAAAAATCTTTCGTCATTACAATAATTTTATTGATGTGATATATAAACACCAGACATAGATATCTCATTTGTTATTCTGACATTATAGAATGCAACAGAAGTTTATCTGTGAAAAATATATTTTGATTCACGAGCTGGTGGAATTTTTCTCTGTGGTTCTGGTTTCCAGACTCTAGTAGTTGAGTTATTGTATAGTACACTAGTAGTGACTCTAGTAGTAGAGTTATTGTATGATTACTCAATGCATGTTTTTGCAAAATAAAGCAAATAAATATGATAATTATTTTAAGATGTTACGTGGACTGTATTCTATAGGTAGTTCGATCAAACAGATTGGAGATACAGTAATGGGTATCTCCGTGCCAGTGATATTAGTAAGAGGAAGGGTAGGTAGGATTGTTTTTTTTTTTTTTTATTTAATAGAAATAAAGTGTCGTATAAAACTTGTAATACGTATTCCCAGTCTTCCATCATTTAGTTCCAACAGAATAATGACGATATTCTTTATTTTTTTATTTTTGAGGAGAAATTTTTGAGAAGATAATATGTAGTTAAATTGTTATTTATTCAGCAAGGGGCATTAATTAATCAACGAGTGTACATTTGAGAGCGATCTTGTTAAAATGTGAGAACTAACTTAAGTACCGATATTTTATATGTCCCAAAAATATAAAAATATTAAATCATATTTTTTTTTATCATCAGGTTTTTAGCAACATCTCGATTTATGCATCTTCGTAATAGGTACATAGTGTAGGCAGTAAGGTCATGCCGTCAGTTACACTGACTCGCTGAATGTAGGTAATGCGGTGTGCATACGGAGTCATTGTTTTTTTCCAAACATATAGTTTTAGTTCTAACCTTAGATTTATAATCATAAGTCATTTTTAAAACTGTAATACTCAAGTTCGATATTTGAAAAGAAGAAAATTAAAATGAAAATTTTGTTTTGGTTTAGAATCCAACAAACTACATTCAAAATTATGATTTATCAGTAATCCAAATCAGTAAAAAAATATATTTCGCAGTTTACATATTTTAGAAATAGTTACATCTGTTTGAAATATTTTAAATAATTTTAAACTAAAATAGATAAAATCCTGAAAAATTAAAGCTTTCTCGTTAATATACTGTAATTTTAAAGAATATCGAAAATGTGTGGATTACAGAAATTCAAAAACCTTAAAAAATATTTGTCTATACATCTCAAATTTTTTGTATGTGACCTTTTTCCGAATCCTTTCAATATTCAAGAATTATATCTTCATATTTCATAGCGTTCATTATTTTTTATACTTATTAATTGCTAAAAAAATAAAAACGTCAGAAAATCAAGAAAGATAAGTCAGACACGACAACTCAACGAGTACAAACAGACCAATAAAATCAGTACAGATAAAAAAAATCGTCCTACAATTGTGTACACAGGGCATTATTTTCCACGATTCGTTATATCGATGCAGCCTTCCGTCTGTCCGTCTAGACAGCACTAACAGCCGGCCGGTGTCTTAGACCTTGTCCGGACAAGGTCTCGGACGATACCCATTCATCGATTTATTTTTAAATCATTACTATAGTTCGACACCTGTAGGAAGATCCCTTAGTGTAAATTCCAATCGATAAATAAATGGATATCAAAGCTTTAATAAACGTGGGAGTGAATGACGGTAACACGGTTAGGCGCACGAGAACTTATATCAGGTTATTTACACAGCTTGGGCGTTTAAGGTATATCAGTGGTTAAATAAAGTATTTAGATTCCATAATAAAGCAGACAAACGGTCACAAAGGTCCATTAAGGTTTTATGACGACTTTAAGATCTAATCATCATCATCATGATCAGTCCTTTAAGGTCACTGCAGGGGCTCAGGCCTTCCGTATGGATGGTTAAGGAGGATGGGCCATGACTCTCCACGCTGGCCCAATGCGGATTGGAGGGTATTAACAACTGCAAATGCAACCGGGACCAACGGCTTAACGTGCCTTCCGAAGCACGAAGTAGCTCGAGATAATATTTTTTTGGTCACCCATCCCGTGACCGACCCTTGCGAAAGTTGCTTAACAACAACGATCGCGGGCCGCGGCGCTTATCGCTAAGTCACCGAGCTACTAAGATCTAATGAATGTTACAAATTTATATGGGTAATGTCGCTTTAAACTAATGAAAATTCTAATGTACGTTTGTGCAACTGGCTGAAAGATGTCTAGACGGAATACAGTCTTAATTCAGTCACAAGTATTTAATAACATGATTTTGATATTTGACTATGTCGATAACGAAGTTATGATTTTATATAATTAAACATGTTATAATAGTTTTACTTCATTCTTAATTCAATTTTAATAATACTTGCTAGATGCTTATTGTTACTTTTACATTTGATATCAATATGTATATGATAAAACTATAACGTCCTTACAGTATAAATTTCTTGCGAAATTTTGGATGATTCAATGAATATGTAACTTATTTTTAATTATGAGTTGTCCGACTAAAAGAAGTGCCCTGCATGCAACATTTAATTTCTATGTAATTGCGCTATTTTCCTGGGCATATCTATAGCTTACGAACTTACATTTCCATCACACTCAGCGTACACTTTAATGACTAAATGGCCATCACGAACTGAGGATGAAAAAAAATGAAAATTTCTTAATTCTAAACACTTTTTTCAGTACAAAATGTGAACTGCTCTCATATAAGGTTAAGTTGTGTTACGAGAGGCAGGGTTCTCCTTATATACATTGCTAATAATTATATTAAAGTGTACATATTTGTAAAACAATTGATAGGTAATATGATAGTAGACTTAGAGCTTTAAGTGTAGCTCTTTGAGCTTTCTCTAATTGAATCATATGTGTCTTACCAGCACTTCCCCAGACACATATGCTGTAGATGAGTATACATTGACAAATGGCTTTATAAGTTGATATAAGAAGTTTGTAGTCTGCAGCAGTGCGTAACCGTGCTAATGTTTTCTTTCCATTTTAGATTTTCGTCTACAATCACACCTAAGTTCCTAATTTTGGAACGCGTAAGTCTTGGGTAATTGCAATTATGCTTCATTTTCTGGTTACATGGAATTGTGTGTAATGTAATAGTTAAATTATTTCTCGAATCTTTAGCTTTAGCCTTACTGAAATAAAAGTATTTAGTTTTTTCAGAATTTATTGACAGGAGAATTTCTTCTAGTCAATTTGTAATCCCACATAGACTTACATACAGACATCTCTAAACATGATTGTTTCAACATCGGGAAATTTTATATTGCATAAACTTTAAAAATAGTTGGCACATATATGAACTGATTAACATAGAGATATTTCATCTTTGACAAAAAAAAAATGCAATCAAAACTCTAGAAGATATCGATGAAAGATCGCAAACCAAATATTATACAACTATGTCTAATTAAAGCAACATGGCTTGATGGTTTAAATATTGTGACACTGAGGAGCCTACGAACCTAGTGAAAACTGTTATATTCCTTTAAATAAACTTGCCCATACTTTATATAAACTATGCTTTTTTAGTTATTAGTCTGGTGCCCAGTTCCAAATTTATATTTTACCTATTCGGTCAAAAAAATGTGAAGAGTCTTTGCAGTAACTGTCTGTAGTCAAGACGTATACCACATTATAGTAGAATTAATTGAAGGCATACAACATTTCCTCTCTTTAATACACTAGCTTTCCGCCAGCGGCATCACCTGTATTTTAATAAGCTTTTAAAATCTGTTGTCTAGTCTTAAACCCCTCAGCGT